TACATATACATTTACATTTACATTTACATTCACATTTACATTTACATTTACATTTACATTTACATTTACATTTACATTTACATTTACATTTACATACATACATACATACATACATACATACATACATACATACATACACACATGCACACACACACACACACGCACACACACGCACGGCATGGCCCTGCCATTGCAAGCTCACATGAGGCTTGAGAGGCCTCCACGCCGACGAGTGGAGGAGACGACCGCAGAGGCACAAGACGTTTCCACCGTCATGAGTCCGATAGTGTTGGTCTTGCAGCCCCAGTGCAGAGCCACATTCGTGCAGTAAGCTGTATGTTTCTTGCATTTGTGCCAAGTTTACCTGAGCTTTTTCCGCCTGAGATGTCCCAGCTTCGGCAGGATTCACCAGAGCCGCAGTCGTCCCCGAGGGTTGTTGAGGTGGGTCGCAGAAGCATGGAGGGCGTTGCGTCAAGGGTGTAGGACATACCACAGTCAGATTTGGGTCTTGGCAGCTGGAAGAGTGCAGTAGTCGCCCGGCTAGAACATGATCATCACAGCCAGGTATTAATGTTGCAGATGGCCGTTTCGTGACATCGCAATACCACCGGTCACAACAGAAGTGTCCTCGGCTACGGCAGCCTTATCCACACCCCCACTGCGTCTCAGCACGTAACCATCGTCATCCCCGCTCACTCCGGGATCCTTCTACTGTTACCAAAAGCACCGACGTTGACAGCCCATCACCTCCTAAAGTGTGGCTGGCGGCTGCATTCGCAGCTTAGGAGGACGCAGTTGTTGCTTCTTGATCGTCTGCGCAAATCGCATGCAACACACTCCGTCCTAGCAGGAAGTTGCTGTGTTAGCCGTTTCACCATCATCATGTCGTGACACGGGCCGCAGTGTCGACAGAGATCCATCCATCCATCCATCCATCCATCCATCCGTCCGTCCGTCCATCCGTCCATCCGTCCATCCGTCCATCCGTCCATCCGTCCATCCGTCCATCCAGCCAGCCATCCATCCATCCATCGACCCATCCACTATCTATCCACCTATCTATCCATCTATCTGTCTGTCTAATTATCTACCTAGCTACCTAGCTACCTAGCTACCTATCTATCTATCTATCTATCTATCTATCTCTCTGTTTATCTATCTATGTGTCTGTCTATCTATCTGTCTTTCTATCCATCTAGCTATCGATCTATCTTTCCAGCAATCTATCTATCTAGCTGTCTATCTGTCTATCTATCTAAATCTTCCTATCCTATCTATTCATCTATCTGTCCAACTGGCTGGCTGGCTGGCGAGCTATCTATCTATGTCTAGCTTTCTATCGATTTATTTGTTTATTTATCTACCCATCTAGCTGGCAGGAAACAGGACCCGAGCCGGTGGAAACAGGTGCCGGGCCGGTTGGGAGCCGCGAGAGTGCTGCAGAAGAACTGCCTGTGCCTTCGAAGCTGTTGCAGGGATCCTGAGGCCTTCTGTTGGGGTGTAGGGTTCAGGGTTTAGGTTGAGGTGTAGGGTTCAGGGTTCAGGGTTCAGGGTTTAGGTTTAGGGTTTAGGGTTTAGGGACAATACCAGATAAATACAGGAAGGAGTAGGAGGGCAGGCGTGCAGATCATTGTCCAGGGCAGCTTCGGTCATGACATCCAAGGCGCTCGAGGAGCCCGCGCAGCAGACGGAAGATCGAGCAGATCAGGAAGCAAAGACTGAGGCCTGCTACATTTTCGATATACGCCTACACACACACCTATACAGGTATGATCATAACTATAATGTACATGAACTTGCACACCCACATGCACATATCTGTATAAGCTATGTGCTGTAATATACACGCATGAATATACATGTGATATATATATATATATATATGTATGTATGTATGTATGTATGTATGTATGTATGTAGGTATGTATGTATGTATGTATGTATGTATGTATGTCGGGGTTATAGTTCATAACACGCACACATAGTGTACCTATGCAGTTCTGCAGATATGTTTATGTGATGTAGTTGGCTGTTTGTCTGTGTCTCAGTATTATGGTTTGTTTGCCCAATCTTGTTTTGACTGTTTGCGCACGCTCTTAACTTTCTGAAACAGCCACATGCCTTTTCATGTGTGTGTGGAACTTTCTAGAATCTAGCATTTACATATGTACATATACTCATATGTTGATGCGGTTTTGTCCATATGTATCTCAACCTTTGTCTGTTTCTGATTCTTTGGATAGGTTTTATTTGTTGTTTGTCTTTTCTTCGCTGGTGCTATTTCCGTCTGGCTGCCGCATAGTTCAGACTGTGCTACTCTTGGCGTAGCATCACCTCCCAAGCGCGTGTGTGCGGATATCCTGTTGACCGGAGATCACATTGGTGGCTTCACATGGTCTTACATGTCAGCTGAATGCCCAGCCCAGGAATCAGGAAGCCTAGGCCCAATGCTTGCGAGTCTGTCCTGTCAGGTGGAGAGGGTGTCCTCGAAGCCCAGCGCCAAAGAACAGCCGGAGGCAAAGACTTCTCCGGTGGAAGCACGGTGGCAGAAGGACGAAGTCCTGGTAGAGACTTCAAAGCCTCAGGAGGACGCTGTCTCCTCGAATCTGCCTTGATTTCTGTTCTCGCTATTGAGTGGCATAGTGAAACAGTTCAGTACACATAGGAATATAAAACCAGTCATATGTGTATATATGCTATATAAATACATTATATGTACATACATACGACAAATCAGAGCATCAATTCTCTGCAATCATTAATGGCAATATCACTTGAGGTGCATACACAGTCAAGTACAAAAAGAAGCCTATAGTAGCTGGCCCTTCGATTCCAGACCTTGGTTTGCCTTATCCCAGCGCTTCAGGAGTCACGAGTTGAATCAGCCGACGTCGAGCCCAGCATGCCGCCTAAGCCTGTTGTGGAAGAGGCCCGGGTAAGTGTTCAGTGTTGATTGCCTTGTGCTAATCAAGAAGATTAGATGGCGAACATCAGAGAAACTTGCAGATTCACCCTTGTTTGCCAGGTTTCGTTCTCAAGAATGGCTTCAAATAGACAAGAGACCCTCTCAGTTGCTTGTTGCTGCCAGGCAGCGATAGCCGATGATGCGTCCCTCAACGTCCAAGACGAGGTGGAGGCCAGATGCGGGTAGTTGGCTTCCTCAGTCAGTTGCATGGAGTGTCCTGTGAAAATCCACGACCGAGAGAAGCCATCAGCAAAATAGCAGACACACGAACCGCGCTTGGCGGACTGCGCCAGAAACATGCTCCAAATTTATGGGTGCCCGCAGGATGCCACACAGCGCCGTGCGCGGCTGCGCTCCTCGCGGCGATCTACGGTTTCAGTTCAGGAGCATCCTTTGGTGTGGTGTTTCGGGGCTCATCTATCGAAATGCAGGAAGTCGGACTGGTCTCTGGGGTGATGTGCTTGCCTTCCGATTCGGGTCTGTTGCGGGCATGTTTTGACTTCGACACTTCCTTCTTTGCTCCTGCTTCTACCCGCACTAGAGTTCCTACTGTACGATTTCTCATACTGGCTTATACTGGCGATAGGAGAAAGCAGCACACTTGCTTGCTTACTTGTTTACTCATTTACACCACCCCCAACAACAACAACTACTACTACAACTACTACTACTACTACTACTACTACTACTACTACTACTACTTACTACTACTAACTACTACTAACTACTACTACTACTACTACTACTACTACTACTACTACTACTCCTACTCCTACCACTACCACCTACTACTACTACTACTACTACTACTACTACTACTACGACTCCGACTACGACTACGACTACGACTACGACTACGACTACTGCTACTGCTACTGCTACTACCCCTGCTGCTACTACTAACACTATCACTACCGCTGCGACAACTACTACTGCGACGAGGACAAACAAATACCACCACCGCCGCGACCACTGCCACTACCACCACCACCACCACCACCGCCACCACAACCATCACCACCACCACCACCACAACCATCACCACCACCACCACCACCACGACCACGACGACGACGACGACGACGACTACTACTACTACTACTACTACTACTACTAGGCCTACTACTACTACTACTACGACGACTACCACTGCGACGACTACCACTGCTACTAATCAGCCTGAGCCCATCCCACCAAAGCTCCAATAATCGCAAGGGCCAACTCCTCGGAGATGTCGGTGCTCTAAAGTCGCAGCACGTGGCCCAGGGTTTGGGGAGTGGTGAGGCCGATGTGCAGACGGACTGACATGAAGAGCTGGTTTGTTTGTGTTTGTATATGTCTATATATACAAGTGTTCTAAGTTTATGTATTTATCTAAAAAGTGCGGCATCTTGTATTGTCCCATAGTTCATATACTGGAGCCGAAGCATCATAATTGTTCTTGTGTGTGATTTTCAGTGAGCAAAGGCTCGTGGATTCTTTGCGAGCGCAGCGGTCGTCGAGGCTCCCCGTCGGCACAGAGCAACAGCGCTCATGCCCTTGAGCCGCAGAGTGCATGTTAACCTGCTTGTCCGGAACAGGATCTCGGATGGCATACAAGGAGGAAGCTGAGAGTATACATCCGCCAAGCTGGCACATCATGCCCCAAAGCAGCGGCAGATATGCGAGTTTGGCGAGCTTGATGCGACGGTAGCGACCGTCAAAGGGCTGTTTCAGGTGGGCAGCTGTTGCGGGTTGGGTACAAGAGCAGCCTATTGAAGTTTCTTATGCGCAGCCCTCTCCCCAATATACATGTGCCCATATGTGAGTTTACCCACCTTTTGATTATCAACGACCCACCTGCAGCTGTCTTTGGAACAGCTGGTCCCTGGCTGTACCACCTTCGAGTCGTCATAGTAGCAGTCTTTGATGGACATGACACACCGCATGCCTTCCCGCGAAGCGGACATCAGCAGCCGAGCGTCGGAGCCATGCGTGAGTTTTCCGAGACCGCTACACCATACTTACACTTGCGTCTGATTATGAAAGAGTTCGAAACCATGTAGCCCAGAGGTGAAACCAGACATTGGCCTCGCCATGCTGTAAAGCCATGTGACCCCTTGGCTCATGAGCCCGTAAGGTGGCCATGTGTTCGACATTTCGTTTTTCGACTTGACGTGTTAGCCATTCCTTTGTGGGAGTCAAGTTTCCAGACACCGCACAACACAGCCGGGATTGTTCGTGCGCTTGCTGGAGCTATGATAACCTATACCAAGAAGCCCTAAACCTCTTGGCCCCAACGTGGCTCAGATGATGACGGCTTGTGATTCTGACATCCGCCGGCTCAGAGCATCGTGCTACAGCGCGTTCAAAAAGCGACCGGACTCTTTATGCGGTTCGACGGTTTTCAAGGTTCCGTGGTGTCGAAGCCCCGTAAGACCAGACCGGACCTTGGCCATGAGCCCACCACTGCCACGGCAGAGAATCCTTGGCAACAGCATAATGTAGGGGCCTTAATAATTTGAATAGGGTTTTGGGGGCTCCTTATTATATGATAGTATAATATACCACAAGCCCTCTTCTGATTATTAAAGCCCCTATATTAGTTCGCCCTTGCGCTAAGGCGATCTACAAAGAGTGCACAGCTCGGAAAGGACTAGTTTGCCCTCCGCAGATGCCGGATCCACAGCGACCAGACAGCGAGGTCTCCTATGCATGACTCCTCCGTCTGCAGTTCAATCTTTACAGCGAGGTCTCACAACTCCAACATCACCGCAGGCGACGCCCATGACATTGCTTCTCTGATCCTGACCACAGTAGTCCGGGTTTGGATTGATGAGCCCTCGTTTCTCCTACTATAGGGGCCTGACAATTACCTATACTATCTTGGGGGTCCTTGTTATAACTTAATTATAACTATAGTAGAATATAACCCCAAACCCTATTCTAACTATTAAGGCCCCCTACATTACTTGATCGTAAGCCCCAGGCAGATCCCGGGGCGCAGCTGGAGATTTGATCTTCTAGCTGCTCCTGTCGCTTGTTGAAGTGATTGATGTGGGAGTTTCCGAAAATTGGGGGTACCTTATTTTGGGGCCCTTATAATAAGGATCCCATTATTTGGGGTACTATATTAGGGTCCCCTATTTTCGTAAACCCCCATGTCCTGTTTAACGCCTATTGCCATGGTTATTATTCTGTGAAACAAGCGGTGGAAGAGGAATCTCTCGGTTGCAGATCTTTGGAGTCGATGCCCGTAGGTTTGGTTGGGTTGTTTGTTTCGCGACCCGGGTGATCCGGTTGAGTCCTCGGTTCAAGGACGGTTCTGAGCCGAAGGAAACAGACTGCCAATTACAGAAAGCCTTGCTAATCCCCGTAGACATGGAAGCCCTAAACCTTGGAGCCACAGACTCAGTCCCTAAACACCAAACCCGAAAAACTCGATTGCTAGGTGGAAAAAGGTGCTTAAAAGAAAAGACTCGATCGCAGATCTCTCCATCTTCGTGATGCCCATGCTCCAGTTCTTCCCCATACCAGACTGCTGCTTTGAGGAGGTCAAGGTCAGGGAGGGCTCTGGCGGGGCTGTGGGCCGTTTTAATGGCGGTTTCAGAAAGTTAGGGGCGTTCATCTAAGTCCCCCTTCAAAATTATACCCCGAACTTGGGGGTATGGTACTGAGGGGTCCGTAGATGAAAGCTCTGACTATGTGGTTGTGCACAAGTTGGGGTCCCTGATTTCTGGAAGCTCCCTTGCTCCCGATAACTCGACGAGTTAACCTTCAAACAGCCCTTCAGCCCTGAGATCTGCAGTTTAGGGGTTAGGGTTTAGGAAAAGACCACGAAGAGGAGTGGAAGGATGCCCGAAGAACCTGACTTCCCTCCACTGGGAGGATGAATTTAGGACTTTCGGACCGGACGCCTGTCTTTGGCAGATTATAGAGCCCAAACCCTAAACCCCAAAGCCCTAAACCCTGAACCCCAAACCCTAAAGCCCTGAGGTCTGTTTTTGGGGATCATAGAGGTCAGCATGAAAGGGACTCCTCGTAGGATCTTGGGCTCCGGAGCGGAGGTTTGGAGGTTATTTGTCTAGAGCTGATGTAGCATGCTGTATTCCGCTATAGTAAACTCTAGTAGACTATAGTCCGAAGTAGATTGTAGTAGCCTATAGAGTACTACTAGTATAAAACAGTATACCATAGTATATTAGGGGTTCAAGGGCCGAGGGCTTTGGAACTTCAGGGTTTGGAGCCGGAGCTTCGCAGGTTCCAATGTGGATCTATGACAAGTCGTGGTCTCCAGATTTCAAGAAGGACGAAGAGGCTAGCAAAGGGTGGACTGCTGGAACTTGGGGTATTTTTGAGCTTATGTCTTCGTGTCTTGTATATGAGCTCCAAACCTCCCACATGCCCTATGCAAGTTCGCGGAAAACTAGTGACAAGAGGGTTCCCGGCTACGCGTGCAACGGTCAGAGTCTTGGCCAAATCCACAGCGAAGGGTAGCCTGTTCTTCTTGCACAGCAGGACGCTGGCCAGACCTGCTCCGGCCTTAGACCCGTCGCACAACAGCTTGAGTCCTCGCAGCGAAAGCAGGTGTTTGCTAGTATTTGTTATTTAGGCTGGAGTTGCTCCTGTGTGAGTGCGTGACTCGTTTAATACGGCTGCAGGCGAGCCGATGGCTTTGCTGGGCCAAATGCAGGAGCAACCTGAAATGGTAAGGAGATGATAACAAGATCCAGGAAGCGTATACGACACGGTGCCACATGAATGGTGAGACCTCCCATGGCCTGTGCAGCAGAGATGCCCACGCCTGTCGCACCCCGTGCCAGGACGACAACTTGCCAACGCCCAGATCGAAGGTCATTGAGGCATGCCACTTCCTGAAACTGCTGAGTGCATAGGGCTAGCTTGAGGTTCGTGTTCATAAAAGTGGCCAGTACTAACAGCAGAAAAAGGCTTTGAGCAACACATCTCCAACAGCCCCGGTATCCTTCCCATTAGCCTCATTAGCCATTGGCACCCCTGCTGGTGAAAGTGGGCCCACCGCAGCCACGGCATGTTACCGGTTTGTTTGGTCGACGGGTCTTCGTGTCTCACATTTCCAGAGAGAAGAGCCCAGTTGCCAACCCGCTGTCTACGCTCTGGGCTCATCCTTTGGTTTACACTAGAGGCTCTGTAGCATGGGGTCTGTAATGCCCCTAAACCATAAACTACATGTAGTAACTAGTACCTCACGAAACAGCCACAGCTTGAGCCCCGCAATTTCCCGTAGGCCGACGTCGACCAGCCGGCTCCGGAGATCCCATATGCAGTCCCGAACTGAGGCATATAGTAGACAAGCATGCACGCCATGCTACATGGATGACGCTGCACTCTCTCTCTCTCTCTCTCTTTCTCTCCTCTCCATCCATCCCTTCACCCATCTGCCTGTCTGTCTGTCTGTCTGTCTGTCTGTCTGTCTAGGTAGATGTAGTTATACATATCTATATATATATATATATGAACACAGGACCAGGAATATGCTGGTATGTGACGGATGGCTTGTTTCTGCGTTTCTGCGGCTGTTCGTAGCCGGGCAGAGCGGGAGCTAGCGGTCAGTTGTCAAGACTCACCCCGCCTTTTCGACGAAGGTTGGCGAATACGCCGGTTCATGATAAGCCTGTATTGGATGGACACCAAACCAGCGGACGTCATGTCAAACGACTGATCAATCGCCTCACTTGCCAAGGCCAAGCATCCACGAGTTTGGGCCACAGAAGCTGTTCTTCTGATGTGCTGAAGGGTTGCCAAGTTGAGATTTCATGGAGTTTGGGGTGTCGGCCGCGAGGTGCCAAAATTAACTTCCCAAGCTTGATGACCAAGCCCGTATAACCCCCTGAAGAGGCCGGGAAGTCTTCCTGGTAGGATTTGTCCGTCTTTTCCCTGTTCAAGGATGCATGTTGCATTCTTGATCAAGCCATGCAGACAGTTCATGGCATTCTTCATGGTGTCTGTCTATCTACGAATCTACCTACTTAAAGATATGTTCGTATGTACATATACCTTTGCATGCCCCTCTGTGTGTATGTGTGTGAATGCGTCAGCATACACGTATATTTTCACATGTGTATATATATATATATTTTTATTTATTTATTTGCTTATTTATTTATATTTATATTTACATTTATTTACGCAGAACACATCCAAGTGGCACAGCGATAAACATAATGTCGTTGCCTCGCTTTGCCTGTGTGTGTGCATTGGTTTGCCTTTACTTACTTTCCATGTTCGCCAAGACGGCCAGGCTAGAAGTTAGTGTTTCCTCGGCTCAGCTGTCCTTGGAGACGTAACAAGTCTGGAAGCTTCGAAGGGGGCTTTACCCTGGCCCCAAACCGTCAAGTGCAAGTGCAATCTTGCTGGAGCTGCTTGGATGGACTTAAGCTACCGTTGCACGGTTGTCGGTTTGGGCAGAGAGTTCAAGCATCGAGTTGAGCACCACTAGCTCGTCGCAACTTGTAGTGAATTCTGAAGGAACCAGCAGCATGATGGGTTAAGCAGACATACCGTCACAAGCTGCAGAACTCAAGGCTCTAGATCCTAAAACCCGAGAAGCCCGTACCTGACGAGCCTCCCCGAACCCTAAATCCTAAACCCCAAACCCTAAACCCTAAAACCTAACCCCTGAACCCTAAATCTTAAACCCGGCTTCCAGGTTCGGCACAGCTTCATTGCGACGCGGGATTACGACTTCGAAGGCGGCCGCAGCTCCGTGCTGCTGTTGTTGCTCAAGGAGCCTCGGAGCTACCAAGAACCCAGGAAGGTTTAGGGTTTAGGGGTTTAGGGTTTAGGGAACAACCCAGGAAGCCCTTTCTGTAGGATGTATACATGGTGGGTCCTGCTTGTAGCCAGGTTGTATCAAAGTAGGTAGTACAAAAAGTAACCCAATTGCGAGCTTGCCAAAAGCTTGCAAAGAGTCTCACACCTGACAGGTGTTGGTCACCTGCCGAGCTTTGTTCTGGACTCAGAAAGCACTGTTTCGGTTTGTTTGGGAGTTACGCAAGTGTTGTACGATTTTAAGGCAAGGGGACTTTGGGAATGAGGCTTACTGGCTTAGGGCGTTCCCCTACAGCCAGGAAATTTTGGCCAGCAGCAGAGTGGGGTGCGTAGCTGGGCTTGTGGCTACTAGGAAGGGTCCAGTGAGTCGGAATGGAATGAACGAGGGCGCATGCAAGCACATTCAAGCTTCATGTTGAAGGCTATCTGCCCGGAGAGTGTCCAGCGCCCGTTTGTTGATCAGTCATATGCCGGTCGAATTTCTGGAGTCGACTCTTCGACACGCGAGAGCTTCAGCAGAAAGCCAAGGACCCTGATATACCCCGTATAAAAGGATTCTGATTGTGAGAAAGCCTAAGTTCGCCAACCAGTGTATGCACAGTTTTCAGAAACCCTTGCCCAGAGAGGCGTGGTCTGTAGCCACGAATCAGGAAGAACTCTCACTGCCTAACTTTCAATTACACGTCCCGTTGTGCACGCCTCGAACCAGAACATAGCTCTCACATTCTTTCGTGCTGCAAAAAGAACACAAATATATTGTATGATATCCACATATACAGCACGTGTTTATACGTTTCATCACGTGAGTGTATAACACAATAGACATGACATGAGCTATCTCATAAACTTACATCCCCGAGGTCAATCAGCACAGCACCGTCAAGACGGAACCCGTGCCTGGTACTTAGCCTCCTTCTCTGTGTCGCATTTTGGTTTCAGTTTCGGGTCTGGTGGTTCAGTGCTTGCGGTTTACGGAAGCCCTGAAAAGAGCCGTGCTCTTGTCAGGTGCACTCCTTGTTGCAACCTTTGAAGGTCGTATTACAACATCTGTTTGAGGGCGCACGGCTATTGGATATATCATTGCCTATCAACTTTCACTTGGACCAGGTTGGTTGACCGGAGCAACTCCTTCCAGTCTACCGGCGGGAGCACCGAAGCAGTGTCGACCGTCTAGATCCGTGTTCTCCATTGAACAAATTGCAATAGCGTTCCAAATAAGTGTTCTTATAAGGATATTATAATTGGATAATGAAAAATCTGTTTGAGATTTTATACTTCTTCGACAAAAACTTGTTGATTAGAAAATATTAGAATGGCTTGGCAGCAGTAAGTCGAACGATATGTTCTCTTCTTATTAATTCAAAGGTTATCGATGAAGGAAATTGGCTAAAGAAGTGGTCGAAAATCGAGATCCAAAAGAGGTGAAGATTTAGATTTCTTCTTGATTATTTGATATGATAAATCTAGTTTCGATTTCGGATTTAAATCGAATTTTTTGAACATCTACTCTATAAAACACTACGGTCAAACCAGCCCTATTCCAAAATTTTCGGGAAATTTCTGGACCCCGGCGAGCAAGCCGATTTGGTCTACCCGGGACCCAAAATTTCCGGAAAATTTAGAAGCTCGGACTGCAGCTTTAAGAGGGCGGGGCCTCTTCGGTGGTCTCGGGCTAGGCCCAGTCTTTTAAGTTGTTGGAAAATTTGGGGATCCGGGTGGCTCGACGCCTCGGTCTCGAAATTTGCGGAAAATTTTCAGTCATCGCTTCTCTAAGTTTCAAAAAAATTTAGACACCGAAAATTTAGAGAACGAATGCAGCCTTCTAATGTCTTATGTTCCAAAACGCAGAACATGCGTTACAGCCATTTTG